TGAATCCTGATAGGATCCTAAAACTCCGTGGCTACATACTTCTTTCAGGAATCATCGATTTCCTGGTAGAATCCTGATTCAAAAACAATGGTGAACTTGTCAGGATCCTTGAAAATCTTGATTCGAATCCTGTCAGGATCCTAAATTTCCGTGGCTACACATTTCTTTCAGGATTTAGTCGTTTCCTCAGGAAAAAATAGCGAATCCTTGCAAGATCCTGACTACATCTGTCAAGGATCCGGCGCTGAAACATCAAAGATTTTCCCTAGGGCTGCGCCAAAGAACATTTTTGTGCAGTTTTTATTTAAAAAGCAATTGTAAGTAAAAACAGAATATGCATCTAATTTACTTAGTTATTTACGACGGTGATGATGAAAATCCGAACAATGATGTCAAGATAATAATCTATCATGTGTACAACAGAAAGTACTTCCGATTTTGAGGAAACAGAAGCATACAGTTGTATTTATAGTTAATATTTTCAATAAAAACTTTCGAATAGAAATGCATTATCACAGAAATACTCATTTGATAAAATCAATCTGTTAAACCAAACCTTAGTTGATTCAATCCTCAATATATAAACGAAGACCAACTTTTCGAGTTCAAAAGAAAAAAGATCATGGATATCATATAAGTATCCAATAAAACTAAATAGATTTCTTTTTTACTTAACTGAATCAATAAGGGACTTTTTTTTACCACTAATTAATAGTTTACAAAGACGAAATATAACACAAAGTTTTTTCTCCTAGTGCAATGTAGCATTTTAACTAGAGTAAACTCAGTTGTACTCAAGTCTATTTTTGTATAAATGCAGATTTCGATAGTTATCATGCTTAGACATGAACAAAAATCAAAACTAGTTTTGAAGTTTTGGTTTTAGTTTGAAAATATAATCTTTTTCGACTTATTTCAAAATAAAAACGAAAACTTCAAAACCAAAAATATTAGATTTTCTGCACGCCAGACCACTCTTCATTGGCAGTAACTACTATATAACTATGAATTCACTTGTGTTTCGGAAATCAGTGTAATGAAACGCGTTTTCGGCATTTCATGAACTCCTCATACCTCCATGAAAAGCGTTTTATCTACTCCGTCGATTTTACTGTATTTATTGGATAGCAAATAAATTGCGTTTCAATTTTGGTATAAGATCTAACGCAAGAAAAGACACAGATTGCGTTCACACGCGTTTTAAAGTAGGAATTTAAACGCGTTTGTATACGTTTGCTCTGATTAATGCTAACAAACTCGTCGAAGTTCTTTAAACGCGTTTAGAAGGATAATTACAAACGCCTTTTTCTGCGTTTCTATCATAACTCGATACCGAAACGCATCAGGACGCCAAAATTTGCAACATAGACGCATCTAACTGCGTCTAAAATGCGTTTCGAGATTACATGGGTGAACTTTGAAAACTCTGGAAAAGAGATGTGCTTTAGAAATAAAACCTTTGGAAAAGGACGGAGGACGTTAACAGCTGAAATCGGCCCCCTGTCGAAACACGACTTTTTCGTTTTCATTATGCTAGTTTTGACGCTACATCGACATTTTAAGCCACATTTAATCATTATATCAAATCTAGACATCATCTGCATTACTTTTTCTATTGCACTAAAATCCACTGTATTTCTTTTGAGGAGTCAATCATTTTAATGAAATATCTCAGTTATCATAGTTCATACTTATCGTAGTTTACCCGTCGGATTGTAGCCCTTTTCACGCTCTCTCTGATGGTATGTCAACATATGAGAAAATCTATTGAATTCTATTTGACACCGCGGGCATACCATACAAAAGATCTAGTAAAGGTGTATACCGATGATGATGTTTCTCGCGAAAAACTTAGGTAACAATGTCGGTCCATTCTTAATTATATATCATTCGATAGAGAATTTTGAGATCTATCAAATGACGATAAAAAGCACACGAAAAGTGCGCAGAAAGACGGTTTCGCTGTTTTTGATTGTGAATTTTGTGTGCGGCGTTTCTTTGTCGTTGGTTCGATATTCTATTTTGTATTTACTTATATTGTTGTTAGTAGCATAGATGAATCAAGCGAATTATCTTATTATGCAGTGTACGTTTTTTTTCAATTCAAAGAAATTTGTTGAGAACATTACTTTATTATGAGATTCATGCTTGTGCTATTGGCTATATAGTGTGTCACTCTACTAGTTCAGTCATACATCACAGAAGGAAACATTTTCATGATGCATTGCATTATATAATAATGTGTAGTGATCAGTGTTTCTAACAACAAGAGTTCGCCTTTGTTACAAAGTGTCAAAGAACCTTGCAATATTGATTTGACACTTTGTTTTACACTTTGCTCATGAAAACAAAGTGTCAAGTTGACACCTGCTGAAATTTTTTACACTTTTCTTTTTATTATATGTAACATTAGAACTCCTTAATTATTTTTAGCCGAAATATTCTTCTTATACTGACATCTTCAAATTAATTGGTTCGTTCGTTAAAGCATTTCTCAATTTATCACAATTGTAGCTATTGTTACTGTTATTTGAATTTATTTATTGTTGTTACTATCATTTGAATCTATTTAGTGTTGTTTTTGTTATTGAAATTTATTTATTATCTTTTTTTATCACCATTTGAATTCATTTATTGTTGTTGCTACTATTGTTATTTATTTATTATTATTATTACCATTTGAATTTATCTATTGTTTTTACTATTATTAGCATTTATTTATTTATTTTCGCTATTGCCGTGATCGAATAATCTTTACATGTTTCTCAACAATTTATGCATATTAATTGCTCGTGTTATTTATCTTTAAAAATGAAATCACAAGTAAATCTGTTTTTTTATATCTTCTAAGACTTGTCACCACTTTATTTTTAGAGCAGATGAACAAAAAACAAATAGAATTAATTGAATTTTGGAGTAGAAGTCCAAAACCACCAACGAACGTTTTATCACCACGTGAGAATCAACAACAAATTCATTCTCCATCATCATATACACCCGACTCTATTCCTTCATGTATATTTGACGAACCAGAAAATGAAATTGAAATTATTGCATGTGAATCTCCATGTTCATTATCAAACGTTGCTGATATTCAACACGTGTCTTCTTCCATTGAATACGAAACTTCTAACAAGTCAAATTTAAACAAAAAATCAAGTACTAAAATTCGTCGTAATTATCTTCCCGATTGGGAAAAGCAACCAGATGCTATGTACAAAACTTATTCATATGATCAATTTGGTAAACGACATGAGAAACTTTTATCGTGGTTGTATTTCAAGGACAATGCAATGCGATGTTCTTTATGTGAAAAACATGGTCATAGACAAAATTACAATGGTGAGTTAAATATTTTATGCATTTCACAGAACCCAGGTCGTTCAATCCCAGTATAGGAACCGATCAAAACCTATCCGATCCGACAAGGAAACCAACGAAATCCTATCGGATTTTACAAGGATTTAGCGCAGTTCCTAATAGATTCCGGGTTTAAGAATTGATGTTGGATCCTCAGGGTCGGATCCCAATAAGTTCCTGAACACAGAATCCTACAGGATCCTAATCTAGGAAAGTTTCCAAATCCGTCAATCCAATTACCGAGAAATTCCGACTGTATCCAAAGCGCGAGTGGACCCAAATTCCCATTGGGAAAATTCCCATGAAATCCACATCGGATACCAAACTAGTTTTCTAAGGAACTCCGACAGCATCCGCAACTAGGATTCATCCATATTCCGATCGGTGATAGTTCCGATAAAAAACTCATAGGAAACTGGGAATTTGCCGAGGTCCCACCGTATCCTTTAAAAATCCAACAATAGGATCCCAATACGGATCCAACCAAAAAAAAATCATCGGATTTCTCCAAGGTCCTATCGAATCCAACAAAAATCTTCTAATATCCGACATTCGGATCTACTCATACGATGGTTATGATTGTTTGCACATTCGGAGTTCAAAAGCGCTCATAAATCTCTGTCCAAATCCATACTTTTCAGAGCATCCCATACAAAATTCGCCACCAGTAAATATAAATCCGGCTGATTTTCACTCTTTATATTACCAACTTATACAGAGCTCACGGAAAGACAATTCTGCACTACACTGATAAAAAAAGCGCCGAATGATAAACGTTTAAAGCGTTTATGAAAATGCAAAGTATGATACACCCTTTTCTACCGTTTAGCAGCATGCGGTAAATCCTTTTAACTACCCACCAAAAGACGAAATAAAAAGGTTTATCAAGCGAATATACCGCGTGTCGAAAGGTTTATCATAGCGTTTATACGATTCAACAACTTTAAAAGGGTGCATCATACGTTGCATTTTCATAAACCCTATCGAAGGTGTTAGAGAGTATTCTAACAAGTTATTTATTTATTTATTTTTATATATTCTTGTTTCGTCTTTATACGTTATGTATTTCTTATATGTGCTATCCACCTCGAGATGCACATACGTCAACCGCTCTTTTTCATTCTTTCTTTCATCTCTCTGCATATCTCTCTATTGTGCCTTCTTTCCCCCCGTGCGTGACGACCTAAATAATGGCATCGTTTCTTCAAATGGAATTTAAGTGCATTTATATAATAATGCACCATCATCATTATATACAAAATACCCTAGACAAAGAAACAAATGCCTTTTCTTCCTTTGTTTCTTTTCTCTCTCTCTCTCTCTCTCTCTCTCTTGTGTGTACGTGGGTTGTATAGTATAAATAGGAAAAAAAGAATAATAAAGAAAATATTAAGATTCAGATTAGGAATCGAAAATAGGAGATTTGTTGTTGATTGGTTAAATAGAAACATAAATTTCTATTTTGTGAATTGATTTAAGTTACTGCGGGCCTCTGTAACACTTTCTATCTCAGTTTTTTCAATATCTTCATATTAAACACAAAAATGTATGTTTATCTTTCCTCATTTTTGCTGTCATTATTATCTACGCTGCTATATTGTAAAAATATCGATGATCGAATAAGACTACTTACCAGCCATTGTCAAAATGCTTCCTTTTTAATGTGAATCTACAAGAGGTATTACTTTGTATATATAGTCGTTACATATTTTTTCCTTTTTTCTAACATAAAATGGTTACCTGAGTCAATGAAGTGTGACTCTAATTTCACTACTTCGTATTTTCGCATATCAAAACATTGCTTCATGTACACCGCCAGTTCGCCAAATTAGTGATTCATATTTTTCTTTCAATTGTGACCAGTGCAAAAAAACGACGGGCATCTTACTATTTCTTTTCATCAAGTTAGCGCGTGAGTGACTGTATAAATTAGCATTAACCAGACACATACCCTCACACCGACACCCTAAGAAACCATTTTTGACGCAAAAGTAAAATAATCAACCCCTGTGCGTAGAGTAATAAACTTTTCCGATCAAACAGTAGAACAATCGATCTCTCTACGTAGAATGATAAACCCTTTCGATGAAAGAGCGGAAATATCAACTCCTGTACGATGAACACTGAACTTCTTTCAACAAAAGAGAAGTAGAATCAACTATCAACCGACGATGAAATTATCCCTTGAGATGCTAAGGTAGATAAGCCGATATTTGTCAGTAGAATAAAAAAAACCTGTCAATGAAGAGGCATAGAATCGAGCGTTCACGTACAGTACTAAACCCTTTTTATTAAGATGTAGATGAATCAACTGTTGAACGTGGAATACTAAACCCTTAGCAGGAAATGGTAGCAGGATCTACACTTAGGCGTAGAATAATGAACTGTTTCTGAGAAGGGTAGCTTACTCTACGCAGAAGGGCAGAGTGGTGTACCCCTTTAACGAAAAAGTAAAATAGTAAACCCGATAACGAAGAATAAAATACCCCTACCTTGAAACTGAACAACAATCTACTATCATCCATTGACGGATATAATTACTCTTATCTTAAAATCGTAGCATAATGAATCTTTATGTGCCCATCGTATACCCCTTGAATTTTCATAAACCCGTTGACTAATAAACGCTAAAAGTGTTCATCACATCGTAATAAAACCTTCAAGGATTTAATGGAGACTTTTTTTATTGTAGGGGTAAATCATTACCCGGATTTTTTTATCAGTGTAGAAATGGTGCTTAAACATTAAGCGCAGTTTGAAAAAGTATTAAGGTTTTAAAGATGTACATAGAAAAAAAGAGCATTGTCTTGTCTATCACTATATGAAAAAAGAAAATTACTTAAAGCTTTCTATACGGAAATAAAGTATTGACAACACTACTTTTGGACTGTTCGTAGTACATCATAAAAAAATCGAATTGAATATAAAACAGTGGAAATTAATCAAGAGTTTCTTTGTATCAGGAAAGGAAGCGAAAAAATAGTCTTTGTTTCTCCAACCATCTAATGTAAACCGACATCAAACTTGACAGAAATAAATGTCAGACATACATGATGAAAGTAGAGCCTCAGAAGAAAATAAAACAAGGCTCATCGTGTATAAGCGTTCTTCTAACAATTATCGAATTGTGTATTATTAGGGATAGCAATTGATACCCCTCGCATAGCTGGCGCGCCGCCTATGTCAGCTAAATTGATGTGATTAATTGTTTATATCAGTATATATCATTTTCATTTTATAAATATATCTATGAAAAAAATCCACTTGCATATAAAGATATTGTCGATAGATCGAGTCATTTTAAACGATGTCGGTGTCGGATATAAAAGAACAAAAAAATCTACTTATTTAAATATAAAACAGCTCTTGTTAAATTATTTATTAAATGCCAAGATTTATTTTCCTGATCGATAGAATGGTATTTGTGTATTGAATGAAAAGGGAAATGAAAATTTTTTCACTTTTATAAAAACATAGTTGTAAAATATTTTAACAGTTAAAATAAATATTAAATTTGATTTTACTCATTAATTAATTGAAATTAATAGTTTAGAAAAATCTATTCTATTAGAAGCAGAGATCATCAAAGGTTAAATGAATTTATATAGTACAGAACGGTTTACCTCCTATTCGGTTCGAATCGGTCCTTTTTCTTTTCGGTCCCATTCGATGATCTCTCACTTCGGTCCTATCTCAATTCGGTCCCTATTACTTGATTCTCATTTCGGTGCTAATATAATCAATTATAGTGGTTCATATTTTTATGTAACATAGAAAAGAATAACTTATAGAACATAGAACAATAAGAAAAAATGAATTATCCATAATTATAGCACAAATGCATGTAATGTACCCAATCAAAAAATTAAGTTTTTTTCATTTAATTTTTTACTAGTTTAGCTTTGACTGCTTTGCCACACTGAAGCGCTAATTCTAAGTCTGTAAGTTCACGATTACTATGTTTATTGAGTAGATCAATAAGTTGAGCATTAGTATCTTGACTTGGTTTTTGACGCCTAGGTAGATACGTTCTTGATTGCTCAGCATGGTGATGTTGAAACAAATGTTCATCGCGTAAAAGTTCGATAAATTTATAAATATGAGGATGAACAGGAAACAAGGAACCGAGTCTACTGTTGTAACCCTCAACATGGTTATTTGTTCTTGGTATATTACTATTAAGAGCATCATTAACATTCCATAAGGTAACAGGATAACGACATGAAGTACGATCGACATAGGTAGAAACTATATAATCATTGAATTTGACACTTGAACGATGGTTGGGTGTGTGTTCATCCATGGCTTCTGCCCATGTTTTCTCCACTAGATGCACCGGAATGAGAGCCAAACCAATTGCACATAAGAACCATTGGCTACCTTTTCGTTTTTCTTCAGCTAAAATCGTATTTGATGCAGTTAAATTTGAATATTTGACATATCGAGTAAGACCTAACTCTTGGATCTTTCGCCAGAGTGATTGTGAAAAATGAAAAAAACAACCAGAGATATGTACTGAAGAAAAAACTTTTCTAAACGCGTTGATAGTTGCTAACCCAGGACGAGGAAACCGACAATAGGATCCCGTCGGATCCTATCGGATTCCTGGATTGATCCGACGCTTTCCGATAGTTCCTGTCGGAACATGTCGGATTCCTGTCGGAAAATACAGGAAGTCGTCGGAATCCTTGGCACAGGATTCCGATCGGACGGTGTTGGGTTGTCGGATCCGATGATCTCCGACAGTCGTTCCGATAGTCGGAAAGTATCGGATACCTACGGAATCCGATGAGATGCTGTGGAATTCGTGCCTGAAGCTCACGCAAAAAAGACAGATCCCTTGTAATAATCCCTGTTTCACTGTTGCAATTAGTAGAAGAGGTCGATACTCTGGTTTCTTTTAATTTATTTTTATTATTATGTAAAACAGTTTAAATATATATATTAAAAAGAAAGCAAAATAAAGACTAAGAAAAATATAACCAAAATATATCACAAAATACTTAAAAATACAATCATACAATTTACACAATAAACGCTAGATGCATAATAATAGCCTGTTTAAAGTCAAAATATGAATACGGACCATGCGGTCTAAACAAAATATAAGCTATACGAGATCTTGAATGAAATGTAAAAGACAGAGTTTAAAAATAATGCATCAACAGCAAAATCTAAGATGAGAAATATAAAAGAGGGAATTAAAAATAATGAATCAATAACAGCATCTAAAATAAAATATAAAAGACAGAGTTTTAAATAATAAATCAACAACAAAGTCTGAAATAAAATAGAAACAACGAAATTTAAATCGAATGTAAGCTGTGGGATCTGAAAGAAAATATCAAAAAATGGATGTGAAATAAAATATCACAATCAAAATCTAAAATAAAATATGAGCAACAAAATTTAAAAGAAACCCGATTCAATAATATATATATGTTGTAATTGTATTAAAATAAAACGTTCAAACACATTCATTCTTTTAAAAGAAACTAAATTGACTAATCAAAATCAGCGGAATACGAAAGAAAAGAAAGCAAAAGTCGTAAAATAGATTTTAGCGACATCTCAGGAAAAAAAAATAAAGTGAGGGAAGATTTAGCTATATGACAACATAGGAATGTTGCTATTAAAAACCAGTCGCATGTGCAAATCCAGCTATAAAATTTAGAAATTTAATATGATTGAAAAATGGTCATCTAAACGAAAACGTTCCATGAGAAAAGAACATGATAACTGTCACTGTGACAATTTTACATTGTGGATTAGCAAATTTCTATAGTAAGAGTAAAATAACACAAAAAAATAATAAATAACGCTCATATGAGAATGCAAGATTATAGACGAATGCAATATAATTATGGAGGCAATGAGTGAATGAAATATTGAGTTGATTTTCTCTTGTTCATAATTCTTTTATTCTATTTCTGCACAAAATCTGTATCGTTCTTAATGCATAAATAAATTGTAATAATAACCCAGGTCGAACAATACGGACCGTATTATGGGCGCAGTATTACGGACCGTACGATGCTTACATTTGCGTCGTATACGGTCAAGATTTCACAGTATATGGCTCCCCGTTTTACGGTGCTCCAAACCAGTCTCGGTTTACGGCCGTATTTGACCCATAACTAACAGCATTACGGTCCGTAATACTGCGCCCATTAATACGGTCCGAAACGGAGTTCCGTTTTGATCGACCTGGGAAGAAAAGGCTATATGTGATATAACAAAACTAATCAATAGATTATTGACAACTTTCAACTATAAAGCTTCATAAATTTAAAAAAATGTTCTTCATCTTAGTCTATGGATTTGCGGTGCTAATATTATTTGGTGATGAAGATGGCACTTGTTGGTCGGTTAGCAATTGATATCAATACCTGTAGATGCCACCTTAGTGTAACGTCATTGTTTCGATAAAATGATAGTTACGTCTCTCTTAAAAACGTAGAATTACTGAATACTCAGGTAATTAAAAACCTAACCGTGATGCAAAAATTAATTTTTGGAATACCTTGAATAATAATTAATGACAAAAAGCAGCAGATTTGCATTAGTCGGATCCGACACTTTCCGACTGTCGGAAAATGGCGGATCCTGCCATCGGAATCCAGCGCCTTTTGACAGACGGAAAGTATCTGATATCGTTGGATTTCGTGGGATTCCGAATATCGGATCCGATGGGATTCCGACAGTAGGATAGAATCGGATTTTGTTAGGATCCTATCGGATCCTATCGGGTATATTCGACCTGGGAATTCATAATCACATGCTAAACGTTTTGGATTAAGATTAACTCCTTTTTGTCGAGCAATTTCTAATAAGTTCTGCAATATTTTCATGTATACGCGTTCATCCTGCTTCGTTGTCAAGCAATACACACATGGTATCATTATATCATTAAAACCAAATATAATATAGACTTGTGCAAATAGAAAAGGACGGCATTTATATGTCCCATCAGAATGCCATTGACTGCAAGAGCCTAAGAATTGTATACTTCAATCAGAAGCAAACATGAGGAGTCGTTCATTACCATCTAGCACAGAAATAAAATATTTCGATGAGAAATAAAAAAATTCATACAAATTTCATCGACCAACAGGAAAGGTTCACCATGAGAACCAGGCTTCCAACCATCTGGAATTATAAGTTCATTTATAGTTGTCGGTATTTTCGGATAGTTTTTAGCACGTTTACGATATAAACTTGAATCAATGCTATCCAACATTGGAAAAAATGTACCAGTGTTCATATCAGGATTATTGACAGGAACTTTTATTATTTCTTGTGAGTATATTTGGGAGATTGGCAAAGTTTCTTCACCTGCTCTTTTTTTCATACGAGATATTGCTTCCTCAAGAACGACCTTTTTTGACGAAGATTGTATACAGGTATGATGACTAGGTTCGCGAATCATAGATGTGTTAGCACGATATAATGATAACGAAGTTGTACATGGTCTTTGGCGGCACCGCCATCCGTTCTTATCTTTATATTACCTTTTAATTGTATATTGATAACCTTGATAGTTAAGTACAAGTGCATTTCAATTAGTGGTTGTGAATTCCAACTTGCTGTTCTTTTTTCTAATATAATATGTGTCTAAGCAATAATCTCTGACACATCGTTTGGTTTAAGCTGGAGTATACTATAGTTTCTGAACCAATGAGCAATGATGATGATGATAAATAAATATTCGTCCTTTTGTTTATATTTTATGAAATAGAACTGAACAGAAGAGGGACCGAAGTGAGAGATCATCGAATGGGACCGAAAAATAAAAGGACCGATTCGGATCGAATCGGGGATAGCCCTACAGAACAAAAATATATGAATCGTTACTATTGCGATGTAATGGAACAAATGCTTCGAGTGCTAAAGACATCATTATATTGAACTAAGTAGAAGGTTATTAATAATATCTATGAAACTCATTTAGCCTCGGAATATTATTTTCGCAGACATTGAAATTTTGTAAAAATACAATTTTATTTTTTATTTCTTTATCATTTGAAATATGAAATGGCTTTTATTGTAATTAAGAAAGCAGTAAAATATCTTATCATCGAAGTCATCCATGATATCTAAGTGAAATTATTAGAGATAATCAAGTTGATTTGTTCCGAATTTCATTTCAACACGTCGTGTATTCTTTTTCAATTGTAATTATTTAATAATTGATAAACATGGACAAGTATTATTCAAATATGAATAATGCTGTTTTATTTTAACATAAAGATTTCGATTGAACATACCAAGAGAAACTTTCATTCCTAATGAAAAATATTGAATAATCATTGAGACATTTGAACGACTTGTCTTCGTTTTCAAGAATGACGCCAACGCATAAACCTATTTTAATTAGTTCGACACACAGCTATTTAGTCACGCTCGATTAAATATATATAATTATTTACTTGTAAACAAATTATCTTTTAAAAAATAATTGTATATTTAAATGACAAATATATTTACAAAAAAATTGTTGCTTGAAGTCCACTGTGATAATGGTTGTGTTTTACTTGTCAATGAAAATTGTCGAGTAAATATTTTTTTTTCTTTATTGAATAATCTTTCTCTTCATTTTGTTCACTAGTCAATACTTCTATTAAATTATATTCGAAATCATTATTATTTGTCATCATGAATAAAAAATGGATTTATGTTTAATAAATAGTGGAGAACCATTTCATCTTTCATCATCTGATACAAAAATTATTTCATCAGAAAGATTTCGTTTTCCATCTCTTTTTCGTTGAAGATCTGGATGCATGATATTCACCTCACACACTCTACTCTTGTCTTAGTGCATGGGAAAAGACACATATATTTTTGTTGAGCAGAAATCTTATTTTCAACCTTTTTTATTCACTTAGTTTAACAGTTTTAGTGTGAATGAAAGATGAGCACAATGTACGTTCCCATTCACACACTCGTCTTCAAGATATTTTTAGCTATTTGTCTCTATAATAATGATCAAATTGCTGAACTTAAAAAAAATCATTCATAAATACGAAATATCTAATAGCTTATCAATATATATTCGAGTTTTATGATAGCACATCAATATGTGTATAAAATTTTCCATAGGTGCACACTTATTAATAAGGAAATAGATGATATTAACAATTCTATCGTTTCTAGTGCTATAATGGGCCACTTCTACAGTTAGATATATCAGAAATCAATAAAATACATTTATACATTGAAAATATCTGGTAAATAGTCTCATCGGATTAATTCACCTATATATTTCTTTTTTTTGTAAGGAATCTTTTGTTAAAATAATTGATTATCAATGATTGGCTATCATTTAGATAATGTCCGTCAAGCATTGTGTAAGCATACGTCTATACTATTATCAGATAGACACATTATATCGACAATGAATTCTTTATCAGGTATGAGTACATTATTGTTCTTTCATAATATCATTTATTTTTATTATTCTTCTGTACAGAAGACTTTATTCAGCTGGTCGATTTACCTGATGAGTTAATTTTAATTATTATGAACAAAGTCAAACCTAAAGTGTTATTGCTTTGTTCTATTATCACTATTGGTAATAATCGTTTAGAAAAACTTGCACTTGATATGTGTCATTCAATTGATTTAACTTTTGATTATTTTCAATCACCAAATCAATTTATTATTCCACGCTTTTATACACATGTTATGCCTTGTATCATTAATAATATTCAATCGTTGACATTAAGCATTCAACATATTCCAAATATGATTACTTTTGTTGAAAGATATTGTAATGGAACTCTTCCAAATTTGACATATTTGAAAATAATAATTGGTAGACAAAATTCTATGACAGGCACACCTTATACTTTAGGTAAACTATGATTAACTATCGCTTTAGTTCATTTTCTACTTATAAAATAAGAGAAATTCTTAATTTTTCAGAATTAAAAAAAGAAGAATTCTACTTGAAATATAAAAGATTCAAGTCGTTTTCTAGGAACATTTAAGCAGAAAAGATGTAAGACTTTTCTACGTATTCATTGCGATAGAAACTTTATGATCAAAATTGTGTTCCTTAAAAATCTTATATTTCGATCATAATACACTCAAAAAAAAAGGAATCATTAGAGGATGTACTAGTCTACTGGCCTCCTATTTCTGACCAGAACATGAGCTTTAAACATTATAATAACCTGGATGGTTCTTCTTCTCCTTAGATATTCCTAAAACACGACTCGAATCTTCTGTATTTCAAGTAGAAGTCAACAAAAAACTTGTCCCAAAAAATGGTTGGATACCGATGGTTTTACCCTTCTGATAAAAACTATACTTGGGAAAACATTGATATTTTTATATATTATTAGGCAATAATCTTTACGGTGTTTTACTCTCTTCTCAAATATACCTCAATTTTCTGTACTGGATAAGAGCAATGCTGCTCGTACTCTATCTAAATTTCTTTGTTCATTATCTGTGCCTTCTATTGTATCGTTCGAATTGGAAGATGATTGCATTTTAACAAATATATTTAATGATGATGATTTATTTTTTCCTGAATCAATTCATCTGACTCACATCCGAATAACATTATTTAAATTCGAACATTGCATTTGTTTACTTAATCAATTGGGCTTACAATTATGTTCATTCGTTGTAAACGTGATGTTTGTTTCTGCATCAGATGCTGGTATTTTTTCTAAAATTAAATCAGTAAGCAATATTTAGTAATTGCAAATCTCATTTAATTCATTCATATAGATTTCATGTCCTAATTTGAAACGATTGACAATGATAAGCTTTCGCAGTATAATTGATTATGAAAATTTGTTTCTTCCTGTTTTACAACGTTTATCAAATGTCGAATATTTAATATTATTATTAGCTATTGAATTCAAAAGAAACACACCCAAACATTTTATTGATGGGTTTGATTTGGATAAAGACATTATTTCATACATGCCTCATTTATGCCAATTTCATTTTCATATTCGTTCAATATTACCAAATGCTTCTCACGTAGAAATCGACACAATTCGTCAAACTTTTATGAAACAACAACAACCTGTTGATTGCGCAATCGATTATTTTAATAATAATCATGGTCAATGTCAAATCTATTCACTTCCATTTATAGGTACTCGTCTTGACTTTGTTTCAAATCGATTTCCACTCTTTGATACTAATAAAACATTTTCAATGGTTACTAAGTTATTACTTTTCGATGATATCCAACCGTTCGAAAGTGCTTTCTTTGAACGTGTCTCTCGAACTTTACCTCATCTTAAAACACTTGACATAATGAATGAACTTGAACAACAAGAGAAAATAGAAACGACAACAAATAATCTTGAATTTACTCATTTAACTACTCTGATTTTATTTGATATTCATTTGGATTATGCTGAACAATTACTTTGTCGAAGTCACCTTCCTTCTCTTATTGAACTTGCCATTGACAGTAATATATTGTTAAAAATAATCGCTCAAGATCAACAACAAGCAAAAGGCAATTGTTCTAGAATAGGAACTCTATTAACTTCACATCCATTCTATCATTCAATAGATACACTTCGAAATTTTTTTCCACGAGATTCCTATGTTCCACATCCAAAAGAATAAAAAAGGTTAAAAATAAATGATTTATGTAAAAGTATTATAACAATTGTAAAGATCTGTATTGATTTAAATATAATACTATGAAAATTTAGGTTTTATCAAGTGGGAAAAGTTGATTTTGCAGCACTAGAACCATTGTAGAATCCATGAAATCAGCCTTTTCCGCTTGCATCTAACTAAAACGATAAGATAATAAAAGAGTAATAGATTGAATGGAAACTATCATTCTTATCGGCCTGTCCAAGCGTGACGAAATCTTTTTTTTTTATATCTGTTTCTCAACTACAAGAAAACTCTGAAGACCACTTTCACGTTGATATAGATACAGAGTAAGGGTCTCATGCATAAGCTGCAAGCTCAGTTTATGTAGGTCAAAGCGTTGAAGTGATAGATAAGTTTTTCTGTAAAAACACGTCCTCAGAGAAGGCTACCGTTACGTGAACAGGCCGTTACCACACGATCGGCTTCGTCAAGTACCTCAATAATAATTGTAAACAATTATCAATAATATAAATTTAAATTCATACAAAAAAAGTAACAGATCGAATATCAATAACGTTACTCATAACAAGATCATTGAGACGACCAGGTGTTGCAATGATAATTTCAACACCTTAAATCATTCAAAACAATAAACATAGATACTTGTTTTCAAAATACTCTACCTGTTTCACATTGAAATATCTGATTTTTACGACTACTACCATAAATAACAGTACTAAATATATGAAATCAAATAGATACAATCTTATTTCTCTATAAATCTATAAATAGCCAAACCTACTAATACCACGATAAGTATACTATTGTACTTCTTGATGAATTTGAATAGCTAATTCACGTGTTGGGGGAGAATAAGTGCTTTAGGACCTTTTGATGCCGTTTTAGTTCTAAAATATCAAGAACTATATACAGTAATCAATATGAATAAGTGCAGGTAATAGAAAGTCAAGTATTTTTCCAGTACCAGTCTACCGATAATATATATGAAACAAAAATATAATTATTGATTTAAATGAATAAATACCTGTGCAATACCAATAAAATTATGACCACGTAAAGCAATAGGCCATGCTTGACATTGTATTGGTGTTGGTTCAATAAATTTTGTTTAGCAATTTATTTCATTATTTCAGGATAATTATGAAAAGCATGAATAAATTCATAGATAAGATTTAGAATAGTTAATTTAAAATTATTTTTTTGTTCATAATCATTTTTCATGGACGGATTACACCATGAAACAACAATATTATTGATCAGATAATTCATATTAAAATTCTTTAATAACTAGTGGAAAATTTTTTCCATTTTGTCATACCATTTATTGTTTCAGTACGACGCATTTTTCCCCAATCAACACGTTTTATTGTATCAAATATTATTTGTATTCCATGATGAAGAAGTTGAAGAAAAAAAAATAAAAGCTAATGTATTTTTATCCTGTGCAAGATTATGATTAGTTGTTCTTGCTGTTTCTTCATCGGAACCAAAAAATGCATTATAATCATCATCATCTTTAGCACCAGCTGTAAAAAAATGACAATTAGATGACTTTCCAGATTTCGAATGAGAAGTTGATGAATATTCATTTGTCTGCCGATTATTTGACAAACCTAATCAACAATTATTTATAAAAAAAAATAAATTATCTAATCAAACCTGCAAATTTTCCACCATTAAAATAAGTATGATTGTCATTATTTGGATTTTTCGACGAGAAAAACCCATTTGAATCTCGTGATGTATCTTGATTTATTTTCGAAAATGAAAATGTATTATTTGTATTGGAATGTATAGAAATGATCAATAGAACCAACAATTGAATATAATATAAAACTATCTGATTTATGAAATACTTTCAATTGAGATGATTCTTTTTTTTCTTTAATATTACCTGCCATTAATAATTTGATCATTTCATGCTGATATAATTAAATTAATTCATTGACTTTGACCATCAGGAGAAAGTTTTAGTTGAACATTATTTTCTCTTTGAATTTCTTTTATTGTTATACCACCTTCACGAATATTATGATCAATTAAACAATCACGTGATATTCTTTTTCTTGAATTACTTTCATTACCAAAATTAGAATTATTTAATGAACATGTTGAATATTGAAAAGAATGAGAAGAATTAGATTGTGATCTAGAAAAATTTCGAAAAATATTTAACCATTGTTTTGTATTGTTTATTCTATTTCCATCAATTTCATTATCCCAATCTTCAGTTATATTGGGAACATATTCTTTTGAATAATTTCGTTCATTATGATTATTATCAAAACGAAAAATATTTATATTGTTACGAGTAGAAGAATTCGAATTTATAAAGTTCGAGATGAAACTATTTTTTAAAAAACAAACTTACATCGATTATCTGCCATATTAAATAAATGTTAACAATATATATACGTATATCACTAAATATCTTGAATATGTATGTATGAAATAATATGTCGGTCAGAATAAAAATGCTCAAATGATGACGAATCCTTTTTCGCATAGTGGATGAAAGAGGAAGAAAATTTTCTTTTTCTTTTCTCCCATTCGTCACACAACTTTTTCCACCTATTATCAATTTTTTCAAAGATAGATATAACAAAAGTCATTTTTTGTTGATATCTACAATTTCATCGAAACCACCATTAGAGTCCGTCGGCAGTGTTCCGAATAGGAATTCGGACTAGAGTGCACTATTGCACTTTGTTTCAAGAATCAAAGTGCAGCGAAGTGAAGATATAAAAATTGATCTAGAAAAAAGAAATAGTAGTTTATGTTTCGCATTCTCGACTTCCCGTGTAAACAGATTTGGCTAGGAATAGGATTAAAATCGATTATTTCTTGATTAAAAATTGATTAAAATGGCACGATTTTTATCGCATTAAAATCCGATTTTCTAAGCGCAAAGGCAGATTTCTCTGATTGCTTTAAATCGATTTGAAAAAATCCAAAAAATGAGAGAAATCTGTCTTCATGGCTAGAAAATCCGATTTTAGTGTAATTGAAATCGTGCCATTTTAATCGACTTTTAATCAAGAAATAATCGATTTTAATCCTATTTCTCGCTGAATTTTTTTACATGGGTTATGTATTAAAATAAAATAACAATGAAAAACAAGAATGTAAATTATCATCAAATGACTAGATTTACAAACAAAATAAATTAGAAATAGGGATCAACTGTGCACGTAACTTTTCATCTTCGATCAGCAACAAGATATGTACAATAGAGAAACTAAGGGCGAACAAAAGATGTGTCACCTACCCAAGCAAACAAAAATTTGGAAAAACGTCTTTAAACGCTTAAAATGGAATCGCGATTGTGAGCTATCAGCTCATTATGAAAACTCAAGAAACGTGTTTTTTGCACAAAATTTTCACTTTCAGAGCATGAAAGCGGCAAAAAACTCTAGTTTTTAAGCGTTAAAAATGCGTTGTTGTTAAATTTTAGAAGAAAAGCGCATTTTAACCATAAAAAAAACTAAAGTTTGTCGCCTTTTTCAAGCTCTGAAAGTGGAAATTATGTGCAAAAAGCACGATTCTTGAGTTTTTTAATGAGCATTAATATCTCACGATCTCGATTCTATTTTGAGCGTTTAAACGCGTTTTTCCAAATTTTTGCCTACTTGGGTAGTGGCTACTGCTAATTTGAGAGAGAAAAAACACATAGCCGACTCAGTTATCATCGTTTTCGTTCTCTTCTTCTTCTGCACTACTCATATCAACATAAACATAGTAAAACCATTATGTCGGGGCCGGAGACACTTCTCATTGTATTCGACATTTATTACAAAACCACCTAAAACAATTATCATCTATCCAATTGTAAAATTGCTGTTTCAGATTCTGAAATAACAACAAAAACAAGCACATAACATGATAGATCAAAAAAATTGGACTGTAAAGAGTCAACAAGTCAATTAAAACTAGTAACAAAACAAAGTGAAAAAAATTATAATAGAGTACAGTGCATGCACTGTGCTTTTCGAGCAGGGTGCAAAATACAATGCAATTCGGAAATCGTAAGTAATCGTTGCACTTTGTGTCTGTTTCTTGCACTTATCATTCGGAACACTGATAGCGAGCTTTCTAATAGTCTAGAGAACAAGTTAGTAATTCTTTCCATGAGGAGGACCGTGCCATTTTTTATTGGTTCATCAATGTGGCGATTGAAGATACCTTTGCTCAACAGTCATTGTCTCGTGAGAAGCTCCTCGATCAGATGAACGCGTTAAAATTTTATGAAAACGGTGTTTAAACGCAAGAATTTTAAAAGACAAGGAGTGATATCATAATCCCGTTACATCGGGTAACGACTTTTTCTCCAGCTAAACTTACTTTATAAACATTCGGTGTATTACCCCTAGGGTATCCACTTTCATTTAACTATATGTTTTAAAGTTGAGGAATTTGAGTTGCGTTGGGGTATTATCATAAAGCGTAACAATTTCGATATCCTCGAAGAAATACACAAAAACAATTGGAATTTGCATAAGATGCTCAATTCGAATTTGAATATAATTGATTCATGTACTGCACAGTAACACTTCAGAAAAACTTAAGGCTGGGTGTGGGCGTGGGTGTAGATTTGAATATCTGATATACAACATCCACAGCTTCATCTTTTCATTGCAGCTATTTGTCCTCCAAAATGATGGTGCTCCAGCAGGTTTACTTTACGTTGCTTACTCTATTAGTTATAACAGAAGATGCAAATTACTTCGTCAACCACCTTATTCATCGGATCTTATCTTCAACAATTATTTTTTCCGTTTCCTACTTCAGGAAATTATCTCAGAGGAAAGAAGTTTCGATGATCTAGGTGCATTAAGTTCGTAATCACTTCAGTATCCTAACAGTGTGTCCGATGATAACTTTACGATGGTCATGATGAAAATTCTACGTAGAAGGTTGGCGGAAATGAACTTCTACTAAGGATCGGTATGTCGAGACAGCAGATATATAATTGAATACACTATGTGAAAAGTACATTCATTCGGTAAGAGCTCAAAGAATATTTCTTATATACATTAAAACTCTTTTCGATCAGAAAATTAATGTTGAACCAAGTTGGAGACAAAAGAAAATTCTATTTTAATAAAACAAGTTCGAACATAAACGAATTATTCGATTAACTTAATAGATCTTTTTGGATTGTAGATCATATTCAAAAATGTTTTCCTATTTATTTCTTATATAATACAATATTATTATAAACATTTTAATAATGAAATCATATTTAATGATATAGGCATGATGCTAATGAAAATTACTGTCGTAAAAAATAATAATTAGATTTACACAACTTCACTCTGATTTATGATGAGGAGACGCCATAGATGCTACCTGAATTTCGGTGCTCTTTCAGTTCTAGAAAGATTCTACTTGTGTTTTAAAGATAATCGAAATATTTTCAATTGTATTGATAAAGTGAGTGAGCAAGATGTGGGTGTCTGTATTGAAGAATGCATTCCTTGTGATGTTTAAAAGTCATGTCTTCTTGGAAAATAGTAGTAGAGAAGCTCATAAAAAAAGACAGTAACATACAAAACAAAAATACACTATGAAAGTAAAACTTCAATGTGTATTAAATTTGATCGGATTTTTTTCCGACCAATAACAACTGTTTTATCATCTATGAAGACATAATCAGGAACTTCAAGATTGGTTCGGACTGAGCCCCTTCGAATACGACCTGATACATCATAATGTACACCATGATAATAACAAAGAAATCCTCCATACATGCCATCATAAGGAAGCATGATACATCCTAAAATAAAGAACAAATAAGTCATGACAGTTTTATTTCTAACTCTGACTGTAGTATCATTTTAAATATACTAGAAGGAGTATTATATTCACCGATGACTATGAGCCATTCAGATTTCTTCACTCGATCAGTATCAAGCTCAGGATCAGGATCTGGCAAAAGGTGCATGTCGACAGTTGGCATTCGAGCAATCTGTTTTGCTGCTCGTTGCCATATAAAAACCTCTTTATTTGGCCAACTGGCTCTTTCGGCTCTCCCAGAAGCTATATTATTTAAATTAACCTCAAATTCACACACAGATATCACATCTTTAATTGGATTCGAAAAAGAAACGCCATTTCGAATGACATATTTCATTACATAAGCAGATATTATGGCAAGACCTATCGAAAAAACAATTAAATATAAATTAGAATCAAATAAAAACTAACTTGTAAAGATTCTTTTCTACTAGATTGATATATCACATAATCGATATAAAATGTTTCCAGGAGCAATTAAAAAATGCATACCGATCGGAGCCAAATATGAATAAGGTGCCGTATTATCACTTGAATCGTGATATGATTTTGATCGATCACGACGTGATTTTCAGCGATAATAATCGAAATTTGGTACCTCGATATCAGTATGTGCATGACAAACAAGTATGGAACATGTAAATAATAAAAGCGAATGTTCATTAAAAGCCATATTTATTTTATATTAAAAACTTACTGGTGAATCTATTTAGAAGAGAATTGTTTGTACACAAGAAATATTGATCCAATGATGATGATTTTAATGGTAAAACTCTATGTGACAAAGTAAAACACGTACGAATATCAATACAATAAATATTTCGATTTTTCGTCGGGTGTGGGTCTGGATTACAAGAAGAACACCCATACCCACACCCACACACCCGTGCGCATTCTCTTATGTAAAAGTTTATTATTTCAGCCGTACTCAAATACGTCTCATTACACAAGGATCGACCAAAATTGGTTTGCCTGATTAAGTCTATTTGCTCCCATTGCTCAAAATTAGTCATAACAGTAGGAGCCGCATGGAACGAATCAAAGAATTCTCTCATGCATTAATAAATGCAACCTATAGTCAATTGATTTCTTTTTTTATGAAGGCAGAAAATAAATATCCAAAATAAATAATCATTCATCATCTTTTTTTCTTTTTATTTCATAGATCCATTTTTTCCTGCATTATAATAGATGAGACTAAATAATATATGCTTACTATATTCGATTTGTAATCAAACCTAAAAGGTTGAGGGTGATGATTATTAATTGTCACACTTCCGAGCGATTGTGTATGACACATGATGTTTCACCTTTCCTTACTGTGCCTTATCATAGGATTTTCGTTTTTATCTTTCTGCCATGATGCTGTACTTTTTTCTTATTTCATCACTAACATATTCTGTTCTCGTGATACTTCCTTTTGGTTACCTTTGATGATTGAGAATAGAAGCATATGCTCCTCCATGTTGCTGATGTCGATATTTTACTATCTAGCTATAATCCGCATATTTGTATTCTAACAGGCGTTGGTGCAGGCATAAAGAAAAATTTTACCTTTCCAAATTATCATGTAATCGCACAAACAGGTACTAACTCTTTTGGAGGTGTAATTATACTGCATCATCAGAATATTAAATGTAAAATAACAGATAAAGAGCCCAACTTTATTCTGATTGAAATACTACTATCTAAAGAATCTATCTATATAGGAGGAATATATGTTCCTCCTAAATCCTTACCACCCTTTCGATTACTATCAAAACATCTAAATAAAACATGCTATATTTTTGGTGATATAAATGCTAAACATACTGAATGGCAATGTAAAAGAAATAATCAGAGTGGTATTCACCTTCAAAACTGGTTAGATGAAACAGGTAACGAATTAATCATACCACATAAACCAACGTCAAAAAGATCAGACTCAATTATTGATTTTGGTATAACAAACAATGCAGCTGGGTGGACCTCTGAAGTACTAAATGAAGGTACTTCAGATCACTATCCAATTTTATTTCAATCATCAATATCGATCGACGAAAAATTATTCTTTAGAATAACGAATTGGAAATTATTTACTTTTTTCTTGTCCGCAATATATGAATATTGGTTATCAATAGTTTACAACATAGACGAACAAACATTCTTTAATTTATTCTCAGCTTTCCTTGCCTCTCTATGGGATCGATGTAGCACGTTTGAACATTCAGCAAATTACCGTCCTCCATGGCCTCCTCATCTAGTTATGATGGCAAAATCAGTCAATCGAGCGCGCCGTAAATACAGAAGAAACCGTAGCATGTCAAATCTGCAATACTTTCTATCAATGAAAGACATATTTCTTAGCGAAAGAAATTTAATTTTACAAACAAAAACAGAAATGAAGTTATCCTGGATTTCAAAAGGACAAAACATATGGAAATTTGCAAAACCATCTTTCCATGCTGTTGCACCCCCATTTCTGGGAATATCAAAAGACTCAAGGAAGATCACTAATACACAAGAAATTGCGGATACAATAGCAAATTTTTTTGAGAAACATTTTCAAGAACCGGCAT